CGTGACACTTCCGAGCTGCGCCAGGTCCATGTGATCTTTACAACCCCCTGGGGTGGGGGCTCCCATCACCCCATATTACAGAGGCAGAGACCGAGGTTCAGAGTGGCCCAGGTACTCTTCAGGGGCCTGCAGCTTGGACGTGGCAGGGCTAGGGTGTCACCCCAGGAAGGCACAGTCCAGAGCCCGGGTCTCTAGCCCTGGCTGGGGGCTGGGTTTGATCCTGGCCCTGCCTCTGGGCGCTGACCCTGGGCAAGTTCTGGACGTCTCTGGTCCTGCCCCTCAGTCGTGAGGACGGTGGGATGGACGCTCAGGCCCCCTTGCGTCCGGGCTCTGACTCTGCCCTCTGCCCGCGTGTGGCAGGGTGGGCCTGGCTCCCCGTGGGCGTGCGCCACGCTGCCCCAGGCCAGGAGGGCCCCGGGGCCTGGGACGGGGGCTCACTATGGCACCTCCTATGTGCGAGGCCTCTCACTGGCTGTTGGGCTATGACTCCGGGAGCCATAGAATGTTCCAGAAACTTTGGCTGGACCTTATGGAAGGAGAGGCTAGTCAAGGAAGCGTGATGGGAGAAGGGCGTTCCGGGCTGAGGGAAGAGCAGGTGCAGACGCTGGGAGGGCTGGGAGGTGGGGCCAAGAATGCCGGGGCTGCCACAGACTGGGGGTGCACCCTGAGGCCTGGCCAGACGAGGCCTCTGCACCGAGGTTGCACCCGACTTCTCCACAGCTGCACCCCACAGCCAGCCCCCACAGGGTCGGTGATGTTAAGTCCTTGTGGCTCTGAGATGCCCTGAGACACTGCCGGCCCACTGCGCCCCACCCTAGCTGGTCCCCCCGCAGGTGGTAGCCAGGGGACCTTCCTGGGGCCATCTCTGGTGATCTCAGGCCCTGCCCTGACCTCCCTTAATCTCTGAACCTCCATGTGCGTGAATGCAGATGTCTTGTGGCCACGGGGCCTTTGCACAGGCTGTTTGGGGCTGCCAGGTGCACCCTTCCTTCCCGTTGCCTGGCCGGGCTGCTCACCCCTCCTGAGGGCGCCCCCTGACTGCCCGGGCTGCATGAGGCCTCTCTGTTCCACCTTGCGGGGCAGGGCCCCGGTGCCCTCTCCTCAGCACTCAGCGCTCGGTCATCTTACACCAGCAGTGCCGGGAGCGACATCGTGGACAAGCCTGGCTGAGCGTGAACATGTCAACCCATTGTCTGCTCACAGCAGCTCTCTGAGGAAGGAACTGTTAGAACTCCCATTAGGCAGATGAGTAAACTGAGACTCAGAGAGGTGAAGTCACTTGCTCAAAGCCACACAGCAGGTAAGCGGCAGAGCTGGATTTGCCCTAGGAAATGCACTGCTCGGGTCTGGCGTGGACACTGGTGGCTGCGTCTGGGGAAGGGGCCAGGACCTGTCCCATGGCCCCTCTCTGGCCAGGCCTCACCTCTCCTGCCTCTGGTCATCCCAGGCCTAGAGCTGCCGGGCAGCTGTGCCCGGGGACCAGCCTGACATTTGTGAACGCCGGCTCTGCGAAGGGTTTAATTAACTTCCTGTTTCAGTGGAGGGATAATGAGTTTTAAGCGCCACGTGACTCCATGAGGAGGTCAGACGGCAGCGAGGATGTCAACGTAAATTAAGCGGGGAGCTGCGAGGCTGCCCGTGGGAGGGGCGGCTCTGCGGGCTCCCAGATGCTGCCTGGGCCACCCCCGCGGGCGGCTGATGCCACGGCAGCCCCTTGGCCACTGGCTGGCTGTGGCTTTGGAGCCAGGGCTTAGGCAGCCCCCGTCCCCAGCGGGGGACCCGTGCCGTCCCGCCACCCGTCACCCAGATGTCTGAGGACAGCAAGAAGAGGGCTCGGCCCGGGACCCGCTGGACAAGCCCCCCGCTCTCAGCCTCACGGTCCTCCGCCCTCTGACAGCCAGTGACACCGGCTCCTGCCTGGGGACCGTCCTCGGGTCAGCTGAGAGCGACTCTTGCATGCACTGCCCTGGTGTGTCCCCCTGACCCAGCCAGGCACGGTGACACCAGGCGCAGACAGGAAACATCATCCGGACATTTCCTCATCTCTGAGACTGGGGTCGTGCGGGTGACATCCCACAGACTTGCCTCCTTCCCCTCCCTCCCCTCGTCCCTGCTCTTCCAGCATCACGGAGCCCCCACTCCCGCACTGAGATGCCACAGCGAGCGACACACGCTTGTCACTGCGCAGCGTCTGGAGGGAGGGAGGTGGGGTGACCCCGTGTGGACGCACAGAAGGGGTGTCACGCCAGAAATACAGCGGGGGAGGGGAGGGGCGCTGGGGCGGGGGCCGCCACCTTGCAGGGGGCCTAGGGGAGACCCCGCAGAGAGGCTGACACTTGAGTAGACCTGGAAGGAGAGAGCGGGGACCCCTAGAAACCCGGGGGGCAGTCCAGGCTGAGGGTGGCAGGCTGTGGGCTCCAGCTCAGCCCTTCCTGACCCGGCCAGGCCAGAAGAAGGAGCTGCCCGGCCAAGCCCCGACCAGCTCTCCCCGCCCCGCCCTGCCCAGGCTGTAGATTTGTGAGCAAAAGGTAGGAGGGTTGCTCTAGGCCGCTGAGTGTTGGCGTGGTGTGTCGAGCAGCCAGAGACACCTGGGACACGGGTAGGAGACCAAGTCAGAAATGTGTCAGGACCCCGCCACGTGGGGCCCTGGGGACAGGGACGCACTGTGTGGCTTTTCCCCGGGGGAGCCTCGCAGACCAGCGTGGAAGGCCCCAGCCCGCGGCGTCCGCTCTCTGAGCCGAGAGGGGCCGTTGCCAGGGCGAGCCCAGCCGCTCGCAGACGCCGTCCCACGGCAGTCCTGGGAGATCTCGCGGAGCCATTTTACAGATGGAGAAACAGCCTGGGCGTGTGAGAGCCAGCCCGGTCCAGGGGGCCACAGAGGGAGCCGCCCAGTGTCAGCGCTGGGAGGGTTTTGGTGACGGGTGGGGAAACTGAGGCTCAGAGGGCAGAGACCAGCCCAGAGCCCCGCTGGGCCCGGTGCCTCATCCCGCTGTCAGAACGCGCCCGCCCTCCTCCCTGGGCTGCGGACACGGCCTGGGTGTCTCCCGGGCGGTGCGGGCCACGGGGCAGGTTGCACACCCCCAGCCGACCCTGGGCCTGAGGAGGACCCTCTTTCCTCCTCTCTCTGCCGGGGCCCCAAGGGTGGCGGGAGCAGTGGCCTTGAGCTGCAGCCCACCAGGCCACTCTGCCTGTCAGCGACACCGCACTGAGCAAAGGTGCTGTGGCCTCAGGCGTCCAGGTGCAGCACAGGCTGGAGGGAGACAGCCGTGGGTCTCAGTGCAGCTGTCCCGGGGTGCCACCCCCCAGTGGATTGGGGACTGTGGCCCTGAGGGCAGGCCCTGGGCGTCCTCCACACCCAGATTCCCGGCTGGGACGTGCAGTGGCTGCTCGCCGCCCACCCGCTGGAAGGGGAGACAGGAGGGCTACGGGGGCCTGGCCGCGGCTGCATCTCCAGGGCTCACACGTGGGCAGGTGATGTGGGCAGGATGCGCTCCCCGCGGGGGGCCTCCAAGTCCGTTCGCCTCCTGGGGGCACTCCAAGGACCCCGACCTTGGCCGCCCCAGAGTTACAAGGACGCAGCCCCTTCCTGGCGGCGTCTGGTCCCCTGCGTCTTCCCGCCCTGTGAGCTCAGGTGCCCACGCCTGCCGGGGGACCGGCTGCTCGCAGGCGTCTGTGGCCCCGTAACGCTGACAGGCTGCTTTAGGACGAGTTTTCCAGTGCGGCGTCCGCGCCCGCTCCTGAGGGGGTGTGCCTGGGTCCCCCCGCTCACCCCTTGGCTGCCCTCCTCCTGCTGCCACCCGCGGTCCCCTCCGTGGCCGGCCGTGCCGGGCGTCTCCTCCAGCTGGCCCGAGGCAGCCTCTGCTCTTCCGTCCCGTCTCCCCAAGCGGGTTCGGCCAGGCTTTGGGATCCAGGAGTGGGAGCTGTTGGACAACAGTCACCTGTGTGACCTCTCTGTGCGCACGTGGCGTCCCCGTCCACCCGAGTACCCGGGGCCTCCCCCGGGACGGGGTTCCCAGTGAGCCTGGCTGTCCGCACGGCTGAGACTTGGGTCCGCCCCTCCCCTCCCGCTCCCGGCTCAAACGC